TAAAGAAAACACCGTCTTGTTTTCCACACCCTCGAAAGTTTAGTATGTTTTCGCAGCAATCAAAGGAGACCGAATGTTCCAGTAAAACCAGCTGAAAATTAAACAAGAAGAATCCGCCGTCGTTTTCTGATGGGTCAAGCTTTGGAATAACTTGATCACAATTTCACTTAAAATATAAGTGAATGTAATAATAGTAAACAAAGAGAGTCCTCGAAACAACTTCTTTTCGGAACCTCAAATACTCGTTCTAGATCTCATGAAACGACCTAGGTGACTCTAATTAGTATAATTTAATCCTATTCATACCCAAGCATAACATCTATTCAATGAAGCTTTTCGGCGAATATGACTAGCTTATGAAGGTAAATTCGAATAAATTGGCGGAGTCCTAAAAACTAGTGTCAATTGAAGGACTGAATTACACAGAAGAAGCACCTTAAAATCTGTTAGGCATGTAGTATTTATCAAAGTATTCCATTAGATAAGGCACAGAGAACAAGTTAATCTAAGAAATTGTGACGTTTCAGGCGTCCTTATGATCCTCAGCTCCATAAAATAAATTTGAAAGTCCAGAAAACAACTCATATAATCTACACAAACAATGCAAGCCAGTCTCCAATGGATGTCTGATCTAAGTGCGAATCGGCTATGCGTTGGTAGGGTCGGATATCTATTAAGCAAATAACAGCAACAACGAAGAGTAACAGACATTAAGAACCAACTTGATTCGGTGAACGGGGCAGGGGGGCCTCCGAAAAGCTCTCTCTTGATCGCGTCTGCGGCTGCTAGCTCCTGCTCCGACATTCTTTTATCACCTTTGCTGTGATCCGCAGTATGTGATCTTTTCTTCTCTCCCTTGGGCAGATCTACGCGCTTACTGCACCTAGAAAGGCAAATTTGAAGGCAAGGGAGCACAAGCTGCGACATTAATTTAGTCAGCCCTTCTGTGTTCACTGACTGTATCCAGCTAGCAGCAGCGGCAGATGATTTCGTGAGACATTGAGGATCTGAAACCAAGGGACTGATGTATGGTGGAGAATCAGCCAAAGGTGTATTAACAGTGGGCACAAAAAGATTCCGCGCACTCGACCTGCAGCTTTTCGATTCGGATGGCGAATGTGGAAGTGGTGGCTGGGTGAAGGATTTTTTTAATTTAAAAGACAAAAAGTGTTTTAGGCCGAAGTGATGTTGTCATTGCAGCGAATATAAAACAGATTAAAGTTGCCTATTTACATCTTGAGTTAGGCATTAGATATCAATGCAAAGGCTCATAGTTAATTTACATAATACAAAATCATAAGTCTTCTATTATGCGAGCAATGCCAAAAGAGATACGGCATGCTTATTCAGCATTAATAGCTCATTGCCTCGCGTTAGAGAGCAAAGCATCTATGAATTTCAATTATTAAATTTTATGAAATACATTTTATACATACAGATTAACCGGTATTCGAATAAATGTGATGAATAAATTCGTGGATAGATCATGTTATAAAATGACGGTGAATTTCTCTTGATTTTATCAATAATTTCAGATAGTAGAGGTTCCCAAAGTACTATCCTTAAGTAGATTATTTTCCCTAATTTATTGTAAGCTTAAGATCGACTTAAGAATGCAACATCATTTAGGTGCTATCTGTCAACTAGACCGACAAATAAGAGCTCAGCACATTTATAATGTAGATGGAGGAGAGTGCCTCAACTACGTCAACCTAAACATCCAAGTAAACCAAAACGAGAGCAGAACAAGGGAAACCAGCCGTAAATTTCTGCAGAGATTACACACTTTTATAAAAGTGAAGTCAACATAAATATATTTTTTGGCTCGAGCTTGTTTTCTCAACTTGGTCGTTGCGTCAGGGAGACCTTGTGGAAGGTACGTAGTCTTATGTCCTCTGCCAGAGTATTCGCCATTTCTAGCATATTATCATTGACTTGGTACATCCCCAAATGTTTCGTCGGCATCGTCAGTGAGAGGCACCATCGTAAACACAGATTGACAACTTATCAAAGTGACAAGTGAAGGGAATCCCCTTGACCTATTTCTGTTCAGCCGTTGTGGCATCACTCCTCGCCCCCATTTTTATTCTACTTTCTAGGGCCTCATCTCTATCTCCAAACGTCACCTCATATGGCCCATCCACTTATTCGCACAATTCTGTGGTCTCGTATTCTGCAATGCCGTCCAAGAGTGTGTTGCTACAAGTTGGTTTAGTTAAGCAATCGGAAGCAATCAAATGCGGTAACATTGCAGGATCAAAGTCATAAGTATTTTAGGAGAGTATGCAGCTGTTCAGTTTCAATTGCACCCATTTCACGCTTCATCTGTAGCCACTTCACATGTCAT